CTCTCTCTCTCTCTCTCTCTCTCTCTCTCTCTCTCTCTCTCTCTCTCGGACTGCCAGCATCTCCACAGACCGCTGAATCTAGAGGATGATGATGATGGCGAAGATGAAAAACAATTTGCCGAGAGGTAAACGCAGCGAAGGGCCTCATCCAGAGACTAAACACAGAGCTATCTCCACCATAATGAGGCACATTTGTCGGCCGTAGAAAGCTTCCCGTTATCTTCTTATGCAACACGCTGTCTTTGTTGTGAGCTCAATAAAACCTGCTCTCAGACTCACAGATAAACAGAGCGTCCTCACACCAGCCTCTGTGTTCTGGATGCTCAGACCAACAGAAGCCCTTTTTCCATAGAGTCCTCCACTTAACATGTTTGAGGTTTGTTCGAAATTACAAATGAACGATGCGGATTATGAGAACATCATTAGAGAAAACAGTCAGACAGTTTCAACCAAGCTGAAGAGTGAAGTCAGTGCTTCATGTGTTAAAGCTGCATTCTCTCTAGTGTCCACCAGGGGGCACTATACAACTCCTCTGGTTGTATAGAAGTCTATGAGAAAATGACTCTACTTCTTTCTTGATTTATTACCTCAGTAAACATTGTAAACATGAGTTTATGGTCTCAATCTCTAGTTTCAAGTCTTCTTCAATACAGCATCATGTTGGTTGCAAAAAAAAAACAAAAAACATGGAGACGACCGTAATCCAAGATGGTGACGGCAAAATCTGCAAACTCGAGGCTTCAAAACATCAGTCCACAAACCAATGAGTGACGCCACGAAGACTACGTCCACTTCTTCTACACAGTCTGTGGTTACCCAAACATCCTCTTTTTTTCATGACAAAAGCGAGAGAAAAACTTTTGGAAACACGTTAAATTAAACAAAACTTTATCGTAATGTGAAAGACTGATGAACTGACGAATAAACTCACAACTGTTTTCATGCAAAGTCTTATTCAGCAAACTGCAGAGGAACAACCCTCCACCGCCACCAAAACATGACAAGTATCCGCAAGTTCCTGTCGCAACACCTTTAATAAGAAGCATCTAGAACCAATAACGTAGTGTGTCCATCAGTGACGCCATCTGATGTTAATTAAACATAATTTATCCACTGAGAATTAGAAAAGAAGCAGCTGGGACAAACCATGTAGGCCACACTTATATAAAGGAAATCTAACATGCTAATGACACTTTATAGAACTTGACTTTAACTAATTGTCTCTTTTACAGGTGTGACATCCAAAGTAGGCGAGCGAGGCTTTTCCTTTCATTAACAAGCCGATACATGCAACCGAGAGACGCACTGCCTTCCTTATTAGTGCTCGGATCTAAATAAAAAGCCTCTGGATTTGTTGTAGCTGCTGGATCAATATACACAGAGTACATGGGATGGAACCAACGCCACATTAGGGCATGTTTGATAGTAGAGTTTAGTGTTCACAAAGGACAAAGTGTTCTTAGAAAGGCAGACACAGCAAACAGGCCTCTCGCTGCATTAGTCATCAAGACCAGACGAGTGGAGGCCAGATGATTCTCGTCAGAGGATTAGTAAAGTAGGGGGAACTTGAACACCACCAACAAGACAATGGAGGAACATTTCATTACACTGGAAGAGAAGCTCAGTTTGTTGTCATCTCATTTTTAAGTCTTTGTATCGCCGACTCTTGTTCAGACCTGAACGTTAACACGAGTCTTTACAAGCTGACAGCTCTAAGGACATGTGTGTACAGCTGCTGCAGACAAACCACAGACCAACAGTGAAGTCATGGACCCGATGCTTCATGTGTTAAAGCTGCATTCTCTCTAATGTCCACCAGG